TTTTTTAACCTAACTCTTTACTTCTTTGTTTATAGTGAGACATCTTCTCCATCTTGGCAAATTCCACTTCTGCCTCCTCCATGTCTATATATTTGTTGCATCTAGCCAGGACCTCATCATAGGTCATAGTGGACTTCTTGGCCAACGAGCTCATGTACGAACGAACTGGAAGTCAGTCCTTCAGCATTGACCTCTTCTAAGACCAAAAGAATCTCGTCAGGCGCCCTGTTGTATTGACCAACAAAACTTTGCAGAGACTCTCCACTCTCATGTTGCATCGCCATAAGTGTAAAATAAGTCTTCTCATGTAACCTCGCGCTGGAAAACTGCTTGAGAAACATGCTCGTGAACTACTCGAAAACTTTTATCCACCCCAATGTGAGTTAGTGGAACCAGTCTTGTGCTCCCCCCACCACCTTAGAGGGTCCACAAAAATGTCCTGCAACTCACTGCATATGCATAGCCATGCAAAGATACCATATTCTCAAAAGTCCTCAAGTTTCAAGCTGGGTTTGTAGACTCATCATACATGATACTAAGCTCTCTGAATCCATTAGGAAGGTTGGCCTTCAAAATCCTCTGCACGAACGGGTGATCGAGCTCTCCCGACCTTTTTCCCCTCAACCTTTGCCTATAGCGTGCACGGTGATCTCCCTATGCCCACAAAGTTAGACATCAGGGTCATTGGAGTCTGAAACAACCCGGAGAAGCTCAGTGAAGGACCTGCTCTGAGCGAACGCGTAGTTGTCCATGCATCTTCAAAAGTGTGCTCTAATTTCTTGGGAGTTTCGTTCACCATGACTATTGTCTTTGACGACTTTTTGAATGAATTATCCACAGACGACGCCAAAATTGTGTGTAGTCTACCTCTGTTTGGCTCACATGGCCTGGATCTTCTCTCTGACCTGTTCGTCGACCTGCAAAAACTGCCGAGAGGGGTTCCGGTGTTAGCTCTTTGATGATCAAGTCAATTTATAGATAAAGAAGACGATGAGCAATGTATGTAACGCTCTGTAAGTATGTAGAAAATGTAATCTTTCAATGGACATACATCACCCTTTATATATAGGGGTATGCCCAAAGCTACCCATATGAGCTGCTCAGACCACCTGAACTGCCCGTCTGTCCTTATTGAATTGCCACTTCGGTTAGGCCACGTGTGGTTCTCATCATAATAATATTCCTTCTTATCCATTAGATAGACCAATGAATAAGAAGGAATATTATTAAGACAGGAACAACACGTGAATTGAACCATAAGACTAACTAAATTGGAAATTTTGAGGTTGGGTAGTACGAACGAGCAGTTCAGCAGCTGAGTAGCCCATTCGAGCAGTCTTTGGCAACAATATAAAAAGAGTGAAGTATGACAATTCAAACTCTACACACTCAGATATACTTACAAGCTTATATATCTACTGTTCATAGTCTTTATCATTGTAGACTGACATAATTGTTGGAATGCTAACCCCGAGCAAACCTCTCAACCCATTTTGCAGGTCTTTAAACTGCACGTGAACGGATTCAAAGTCATTCCACGCGGCCAAAGTCGTTTGCAGACCACATTGCATTCGCTAAGTACTAGTGTCACAATGAAAAGAAACAAATCAAAAAAAAAAAAGGAACAACACAAAATGATCATAAATCAAAACATGGTAGGTAAATCCAGATCCAGATGTTCTGTAAACAAACATACTCAAAGGCCCAACAATCTAAGCGGATTCATTAATATCTAATACCACCCAATTAAATGCTACTTACTGACTATTAAACCCCAACCAAACCCCATATTCCACCTTCACCCATCCAAACTATTATAACCTCATACATAGATAAAACCTAAAATCAACAACACAACAACAAAATGAGATGTGGCCTAATGATGAGGGCAGAAGGTGACCAAGTAGCTGCTCCCAGTACAGGTGGCAATGCTGGTCGGGTCGTCAAAGGCGTACGAGTATGCCTTGGGGCAGGCCACCTTGAAAATGCGCGAATAGGCCGTGGGCTTGCACGACTGGGCATTCGCAAAGGTCCCCGTGCAGCAATAGCGTGGGGAGTTGAAAGCCGAGCACGCGCTCTTGCACGCCACCACTCGTTTCTTGTCGTGAGAGCGCACTTGAAGCCCCACTGGGCACATCTGGTTCAGGTCGCTCACGCACCCCGCATAGCTGCATTTGCCTGCACCAAATACCACATACTAATTCAACATTCCAAAAACCTGAGAAGAGATTAGGATTCAAGCTAAGACATGATAAAAGTGCATACTTGCAAATTTAGGACAAATGATACAAAGGGGAAAAATTGTATAGTGTGCACAAGAATATGATGAATTGCCCTGTAAATGGACCCTTGTAAGGTAGATTCTTTAGGCACTAAGAAAAACCAGGGAAATACAAAAACATCTTCAGTTGATTACACTTCCATTGGTAACAGCTTTACTACTCTAGGCTATAGCCATTACTTTCAAATAC